CTACTTACTACTTACTACTTACTACTTACTACTTACTACTTACTACTTACTACTTACTACTTTCTACTTACTACTTACTACTTACTACTTACTACTTACTACTTACTACTTACTACTTACTACTTACAACTTCCAACTTACTAATTACTACTTACTACTTGCTACTTGCTACTTGCTACTAACTACTTACTACTTACTACTTACTACTTACTACTTACTACTTACTACTTACTACTAACCACTACTACTACTACTACTACTTCTTCCGGACGCAGCAAGAGGAACTCGCTTCGCGGATACGGCGTTCTGACGGGGCCCGCACCCCGGCGCTCTGCGCACCTCGATCCTTCACGAGGTTCAAAAGAGTTGCCCCGCGGTCCGAAGACCCTTCAAGCAAGGGCAACAGCTGTACGTTTGTTACTAGAAGAGTACAAGGAAAAACAGGTGAAGGTCCAAGCCAACTGCTCACTGCAGACTACGTGGGACCTAAGGGCACAGGCAGGCAACGACTCTCTTATTCATTCGGACAGCGAACATACATGACAGCATAGACAGATGTGTTAACATATTGCAGGTTTGCCGGGTTGGTAGCCAGTCTGGAGGCAGGTACCTTGTCATCAGTTAACAACATCTGCTGTCCATGTTGCAGAACTGTCCTGTAGTGACCAGACTCAGGTGTCCGGCCCTCGTGCAGCAATGCGGCTGTGCATCGATACTTGTCATATCGAACTTCCATTGCTTGCGGCTGAGTCAAATCTGCAACGAAACCTGGAACCATTATATAGGGATTGATAATGACAGGGACTTGGGATTTATCAACCCCTAGGGAACCTAGATTAAACCTGTTGATTTGAATCAGCAAAACCCCTGGCACGTTGAGCGTGCCTTGCAGACCTTGCTGGGTACTCCAGTCGTCGAGAAGGTGCTGGATTGAAAGCTCATGGCCGGACGCAGGGTGCAGGGTGTGCAGTGGTGTGGGTATCCAGAGGGGCCAACAGGAACCACTATCTATAACCCTAGTGCTACCATCGAGGGTTTGCCTAGCCTGCCAGGCACAGTGTGCAACGGAAGGACACATGAGCTCCCTAAGAAAGGTAAGGTACTCTACTATGTCATGTTGCCGGGTAGGTTGTTGCCACCGTTGGTGCAAGGCTCGCCATGAGATTCGTGTCCAGACATTCTGGAGACTGCGCGTTTGGCACACTATCCTGAAGGCTTCCAGCAAGGGTTGGCTCAGAAGCGGCTCACTGCTTGCCCCTTGGAGCATTTGCACTCGCGTCCACAACAGGGCACTACATGCTGCATTGCTGTAGCAGTAATTGTGCGGATTGTCTAGACGTAAGGTTCTGACCGTTTGTTCATCATCACCTGGATGTGCACGGCGAGGCCCGTGCGCCCCAGCTTCTCGCCCCGCATCGTCATGGCGACTGCTCGGCACACTCCGGAATGAGCCAGCCTGGAACAGTGCTGCCAGCATCGATCTGCCTCGGGTGTGCGAAGTCCCAGCTGCAGGGTCATGGGCAGGATGTCGCCCTGGTACTCTTCCACCAGCTTTCGCAGGGGGTGGAATCGGAGAATCGTCAGGGGGAGGAGGGCCAGATCGCCGAGTTCCTTGATGATGCGGCGCGCCTCGTCGAAGTCCAAGGGCTCCCGGTCCTCCTTGATCATGAGCTTCATCTCCGTCCGGTTGTACTGCAGGTACGGGACGGTGCCGTCCTCCTTCAGGATCATCATGGCTACCGCCTCCTTCTTCGCTTCCTCGGTGGCTACGCAGGCTTCCAGACGCTGCAACCAAATCGTTGTGAACCGCTGCAGCAACGTGGAGCGGAGTGACAGAGTGATCTCCTGAGGCTTCGCTGCCTTGGTCTCCTGCCAAACCGTCGTGGCCCTGAACATGTCTGGCACCATGGAGAGCATGCCTTTCGTCTGACAAAACAGAATAAAGCCGCTCTCGAGTCTGCTGATGTTGTGCTGGTCCTCGTGGCGTAGCACCAACTGCGCCATGGCATAGCACAACTCCACAACCTCGGCGTTCTTGGAGGCGTCCTTCTCCTTCTCCTCCTGTCCCGCCGTCTGCCACCAGGGGTCGCGCCATCCATCTTTGGAGCTTCGGCTGTCCCAGCCGCCCGATCTGTTGTCGCTGCGAGGAAGCTTCGGGCCCTTGCCCTGTCGCCGCTCCGGTTCCGATGCTTCGCCCCGGCTGCCTCTCTTGAGCTCGTTGGTGGTCAGATCCATGGAGGGGCTGGGAGGAACCATTGTACCCAGACTGCTCGGGGTGGCTCCTGGCGTCGCCATGAGGCGATGCATGAGGTTCGCCTGGTCCTGGGCATTCAGCATCTCCTTCTGCTGCTCCTCCGAAAGCTGGACGCTCATCTGGAGTGAGTGGAGCCTGCAGAGCATGTAGCAGGGTGAGAATGCCTGTTCTCACAAGTACGGTGCAGTGTGAGGTATGCTTAGCACGACTGACATGTTTGGCCTGAAAAGCCACGCAGCACCACTTGCACGGGCTGTGCACTGTCGAGCGCCTTTCCTCGAGCCACTTCTGAAGGCGGTCAAGCACAGGCCGGCATTCAACGTGTTGTGCTGCAAGGTGTCGGGTGAGGTACTGAGGGCGGGCAGGCCACTGATTGCAGAATGGACAGTGATGTGTGTCTTCGGATGCTCTGATGTGCTCGGCCAGCCTACACCAGTTACGCTCGCTTAAAAGACGAGTGTAACATGATGACACTTGGGACATGAGTGCTGTCAGCGGTGCAGTCGACACAGAAGCTGCCTTTGTGTCCTTTTCCAGAGCTGGTGCAGGCTTCTGAGGCGCGTCACTGTTGGCCTCTGTCTCTGGACTCTGAGCGGGCACCGGCACGACGCAGGTTTTGTGTAGCACGGGACACCGTGCATGCTCAAAATGCTGAAAGAAAGCCGGCCAACTTGCAAACTCCCACTGGCAGTGTGTACATGTAGGGAGTCCGCTGGTAGCATGTTGCATAAAATCCTGACGCGTCTGCTGTTGTGTGCCGGGTTATGTTTGAGGTGGGTTAAGGTCATGTGTTGCCGCATAGTTTTGAGTGATGGAAAATGGATACCGCATGTGGGGCAAGCTACCATGCGAGTGCCTGGCGGGAGCTCACATAACCCTGGGAAGCCAGTAGCCACTGCTGTCTCTGGGTACACTATCGGGTGTTCGGGTGGGGCAGGAGTTAGGGTCGACTGATGGAGCAAAAAGCTCCAGCGTTTGTGCACTCTGGCTGGCTGCAGTTTTGCCACTGGGCCCGTCTGGGTCTTATCAATTCTGGAGCAGATTCGCCGCGAGAGGTCAATGACGGGATCATCAATCTCATGCTTGCGCAGCAAATCTTGCGATGTCACATGTGTGATGTGTGACGGTGATTTGGCGATGAGGCGAACCTGCTTCGAAACATGCTTTCTAAGCAACGCGGGGCCAGTGCTGTGCAATCCGGTGCTGTCCAGGCCGTGCATAAGCGTGGCATAGACACAGGCTTTCCAGATGGCAAGCTTTTGCCTGATAGAAAGGCTGGCACTTCGCAAAGCTGGCATGAGTCGATTAAAGACACTCCAGGACTCCTTCATTCGATACTTCAGTGTAGCAGCTTCGGGTACTCTATAAGAGATGCGCACACCAAGGTATGTATGTACTTCAACGAGCGGGAGCTGAAGTGTACTGTTGTTGAGAGGGATATGGATGACTTTGCCATGTTTGTTGTTGCTGGTGTGTTGTCTGTAAAGGCCTTTGACACTACTGCCGCGAATTCCAAGTAAGACGACTGACTTTTCTGGGCTAATGCTGAGGCCAAATTCCTGAAGGACTTCACAGATGTATCCTATGTCTGCAAGGACTTTGGTAAAGTCATTGGCACTCTCTACATACCATTGGAAAAGCCAATCATCAGCGTAAACTGTGATGCCGTCCTGGTGGAGACGCTCGCAGATTTTCTGCATCACTACCTGTGTGAACATAGCCCACAGGGTGGGTGACAATCCGCAGCCTTGCCTTATGCCATTGGTAGTCGGAATTTCTGTTGTGGCTGCGGCATGCGAAAAGCGCATACAGGCATGTTTATGCAGCTGCAGAATGGTCCACCGTAAGGATGTCTCAACCCCTGCAGCTTCTAGAGCCGTGGCCAGGTGGGTCCTACTCATACAATCGAAGGCTTTCTGAAGATCAACCGAGAAGGTGATTCCGCCTCTGCAGGGAGCTGGGGTGTGTCCCTGTTGACGCAGGTGAGGGGTCTGGCGTTGCGTCTGCAGGATGTTGCGGACATGCACAAGGTGCGTCAGCACCCGGTCGAGCGCATCTGCTACGCTTCTGTGCTCCATATACGCGAACTGGGGACTAGCGGCGAGAAGTTTATCTGCAGCGGGTTGTATTTTCTGCTTAAGAATGCTTGCTAGGGCCTTTGCGATGGGGTGAAGTAGGGAAATGGGTCTTAAATTAGCAGCCATGATGGCTTTGTGGGGTTTCGGCATGAGGAAGATGTCAGCTATGTGCCATTGATCAGGTGGCTGCTGTTCCATGTTTGCCAGCCAATGGTTGAGCATGTCTAGGTCTCGGCCAGCAGTCGTTGCTGAAGCTGCTTTCCAGAGCACAGCTGGTGGAAGGTGCGAGGGCAAGGCCTTGCTCGCCGGCAGGGCTGCCAACGCTGCTGCAAGTTCTGCGCCTGTTACTTGAAATGGCTCCTGGGGCTTAGGGAAGTCAGCAAGGGAACCATCAGGGAGTTTGTTGTACAAGTCGTAAAAGTACCGATGTATGGACTGCAAAGCTTCCTTGTTGCTTAGGGGCATACCATTGTCGGCTCTGAATTGCACACGTCTGTGGGGAAGCTTAGGCGCAATAGCTCGCAGCAGTTGAAAAATGTGCGGAAGGCTGTTAGGCTTGCCAGCTGCTTCTTCCAGTAAGCGATTGATGCGTTCCCGCTTGCGGCGTCTGCACTGATCGCGAAGCGTATTCTGGAGATGCTTCATTGCCTGGTGCGCTCGCCAGAAAGCAAAGGTGAGCTGGAAGTGCCTGCTATGATGAGTACTTTGGAGACTGGCAAGCTTCGCAGCCAAGCTGGAGACCAGCTTTCTCTGCTTCCAAAGCGCTGTGACCGCAGACTGCTTTTGCTGCGCCGGCGCGGCGATCACTGACGGCAGGTGGCTGGTGACTATCTTCCAACTCTGCTCGAGTAAGGTGGTGGTGGGGGTGTCAGGGGAGGTTTCTGCCAAGGCAGCCACCTGCGCACGAAAAGCCTGCAGAATGTGTGGCTGTTGCTGACAGGTGTCAAGAACTCGGCGCTTTTGAAGATTTTGGGATCGGCGGGGAGTACGGGGAAGGGTTGGCTTAGGAAGGCTGCCACCTACAGGAATGTGCCGCATACCTGTGGTTGGGACGAAGGGGAGTTGTAGGGCTTTAGTTTGTCTGGACACCTGGTCACATTGGCTAGCTCTGGCAATTGCGAAATCAATCTGGCTGTGCCCTGTCCGGGTGGCAGGCCAGTACGTGCTGGCACGCAAGCCGCCCTTAGACCAGGTGTTTAGGGCTACAAGTTGATGATTACGCAACAGATCCTGCAACATGTGGCTATCTGATGCATGAGTGCTAGCAGTCTTGCAAACTCCACGCCCTACTATGGAGCCTTCGGTGGTTAGCCGGGTGTTATAGTCACCAAGAAGCAGTAATTGGTTACGTTTGGGCAGGTTACTGATCAAGGTGCTTAACTTAGCCCACAATTCAGCTCTGCGCGCCAGCACCACGTCTTGTTGTGAGGGGCGTGTCTGGCAGCGAGGCGGGAGCTGCTCCATGCATGCTGATACACAAGAACTATGTCAATGCAGGGCTCAGCCTCAAGGCGTATGTGGACCAAACGACCGGGCACCACTTCTGTGTGATGAATGGTGTGCCCCGGAAACTTTTGTGTGTTGATGAGTGCTAGTATCCCTGCCTCGGCCTTTGTGGCCCCACTATGAATTGCAAGGAAGCGACCTGTGCGGTATTCCAGGGGGCCTCTCCAGTGTGTTTCCTGCACTGCCAGAATGTCGACAGAGCAACCCTGTTCACTATTGAGCCAAGTTTGTAGCTCTGCATTCCTAGCTGCGGACAAACTACTGGCATTCCAGGAGAGAAAGGACAGTCGAGCAGCACTAGGTTTGGGCGTTTTGGGGGTAGGGTGGTCTTGGCGGGTAACCTGCGTGATGCCAAGTTGCTCAGCACTAAACCATCGTCCTCTGTAAATGGCTCCACCCTGCTGCGTTGCTCTGCGTTGTGCTCTTACAAAGGCATGCTTGTGCGTTCGATGCGGGTGCACCGAGGATTGAAAAACACCGTTGTGGTTCGTCACACCACAAAGTCGTGGTTGGCTTGCTGTCACGACTTCAGGAGGTTCCAGGTGGGGAGAGCCTCCAACCCTCACGTCTGTAGCCTGAAAAGCCCCACTAGTGCTTTTGATAAGTATCATGATGATCAACCGGAAAAGGATGTTACTTCGATGTGTGGTTTTCAGACTACCCCGGGACTTGGGACCCGGGTGGCCCTGCTTAGGGTTCTGGCGGATTGGGTGGTGGGTTTTCTGGGCTTGTAGAAGCAGTGCTTGAACCTGACAGCCTACCAACACACTCAAGAAGGCTATATACAATCTGTACAGGCGATCACTGAGGGGCCGCAGTCTGGCGCAAGATCGGGTTTGACCCCGTCTCGCGCGCAAACCGCGCTTTCTCCGTCTTCTGCTGATCTTGATCGTCCAGCGCCGCCATAGCCTTCGTCGTCGTGCTTCAGTGGACAGGCCCTCTGCTCGAAGAGGAAGAGGCTGGTTCTGCCTGTGCTTCATCTCCTTGCGTGGTGCGGTACGAGATAATCCATTGCTGTAGCTGCAGTTGTTTGTCCGCCTTGACCAATGGCCAAAGCAGTCGCATGGATCGCAGGTAGAGGGTGTTGCCGGCCAGTTCCGTGGCCAGACCCGCCACCATATTGGCGGAGCGAGGCCCCACTGTAGGCTGCATTCCCTCGTAGATTGCCTTCTGCATAGCTTGCAGAAGCAGCGACTGGCTGGGCAAAGGTCCAGTAACCAGAGTCTGCATCCAGGACAGGTCGTTCTCAGGGGTGTCCGCTTCCAGCATAATGCGGATCGCCCCCACCATGTGTTCCATGTCTTGGCTTCTCTCTGGCTCCAGGTATTGAGACACATTATACTGCATGCTTCTGGCACTGGCTGTCTCGTGTCTACGCTTGAACTCTCGCAGCTGAGCAGCCGCTTGCCTGGTTGGAAAATCCTGCTGTAGCTGGTGTTGCAGGTGTCGCAGGCAGAGTAGTTTGACCAGCTCCTCCGTGAAGCTCGCTCGTTTGTCCTCAAAGAGTGGATCATCGAGGGCTCGTGTCGGCGGTGGATCTGGTTCAGAGGCCATAGGTGCCTCATGTTCCATAACACCATCATCATCGCCAGCCAGAAGGTCAGAGTCATCGGGCAGAGAGTTCGGGGTGGAGCCCGTAAAAACATCATCACTGCTGTCGCACCCCTCTGAGCTGTCACTGACAGCCTGAGCAGAGCGAGGCATATGCCCCGGCTCGAGAGCCCCTGAAAGAGATGCGGGCCTTGCCTCCTCCGTACAGTAAGTAGTGCAGCCTCAAAAGATCTCTGCCATGTACCGCCTTCCTAGCTTCAAGCTCCACTCGGGCCAAGACGCTTACTACTACTACTACTACTACGACGACTACGACTACTGCTACTGCTACTGCTACTGCTACTGCTACTGCTACTGCTGCTACTACTACTACTACTACTACCACTATCACTACTTACTACTTACTCCTTACTACTTAATGCTTACTACTTACTACTTGCTACTTGCTACTTACTACTTACTACTTACTACTTACTACGTACTACGTACTACGTACTACGTACTACGTCACTACGTACTACGTACTACGTACTACGTACTACGTACTACTTACTACTTACTACTTACTACTTACTACTTACTAATTACTACTTACTACCTACTACCTACTACCTACTGCCTACTACCTACTACCTACTACCTACTACCTACTACCTACTACCTACTACCTACTACCTACTACCTACTACCTACTATTACTACTACTACT